TCAAAGGCAAAATTCAAGAATCACAAATGTAGAATCCCAAATCCACAAAACACTGAGTGAGTGTGTGCGGGCAGTGCGCGTAAATCACAAATGTGATTGATAGTCAAAAGACACAATGACAAACTTCAAAACATAAAGTAGATTCAAGGAATCAACTCATGACACAATAATGAGTGCGATATTCAACAAACAACAATGCAGTAAAAAGAGCATATGGCGAGTTCATGAAAGAAACATATTCAAAACAGTGGAAGATTGAGATTTGAAAAGACAGAAATTGAGAACTTACCAAATAAAGCTGAGGAAACGAGGCTGGAAAGAAATTCACCGTAGTCCAACGATGGTATTGTCTAAAGCCCGAAGGTAAAAAGTTTGCTGGAGAAAACAAATAAGACGGTTGCAGAGCTTTGGAGAAATAGTAATGGCGGTTCATGAGTGGAAGTTTAGAGAGAGAAAATTTAAGAAACGAGGGAGATTGTTTTTTGCAAAAGTGAAGAGACGGAGAGAGAGAGAGAGAAGTTTTGTTAAAATTGTGAAAAGGTGGCAAACCATAATGATGTGCCTTGGACAACGTGTCTGTCAGGTGGCGTGCACAGAAGCGACGTGTCTTGATAGTGCGTGTAAGGTACGAACTAATGAGAGAAGGACGCGTAGTGGAAACAATTGGGAAAACCGTGTGTGACAGCTCATGAGCAAATAAAAAACTCGGAGTTCTTGATTTAATAAAGCAAAAACCTCGGCCAGAGGAACGATCTCAGTTAAGATACTTAAAGAACTTGGTTTTTGGTTCTTGATCCTTGATAAAAATGGACAGTTAAGTACTGGGTACTTGAAGTCGACGAGTCATAATCTCGGTCGAAGGAAATAATGAATTTTGGTCGACATAATGTATGAATATGCAGTGTAGGTTCCATCACCTCAGATTGCCGAGGTAATAGAACCTAGGGGGCAGTTGTGGAGACATATTTTTTGATTGACAACACGTGGCCAAGGTGACACGGAAGCGTCGGCCGAGGTTTCACGTGGCCTGGTCTTGATGCCGAGGGGATCTCGGCTACGCCGAGATTATCTACGGAGATACCGGAATCCGAGGTAAGCGGATAAGGGACAAGAGTCTAAGAACTGGAGAGGATCTCGGTCTGGATAAAGATAAAGTTCTTGGGAATTTATCCCTATCTAACTGGGAGTCCAAGATGAATATTGGGCCTAAGTCCATTGAGATTAGGCTTCTACAGGGATCAGGTCAACGTTGGCTACGAAAGCGAGGTACTTCCATGAGTCTCAAGTATGTGTGATATAGTGCAAGTAGTAAGTTCTTTCTTGTGAGTTAAGCACAATTGGCTATCTTTGAGAGATAATTACTGACTTGATCGTTGGAGTGCCCCTGGGTGGACGAACCACCGCCGGATTCTCAACTTTCTGTGACAGGTTGTACGAGTTTAATCTATTTTGCCGGTGTTCTCCTGCTGAGTTTCCCTATTTGGTTGTGTGGTCAAAAATCAACACTCACACCACTGTACAGTGATCATCATCTTCCATTGCCATTCCTTCATTTATTCTTCTTATTCTTCCTCTTCCACTGGTCTGTTTCATGTGTTTTGTTGGAATCTTGATTTGTGTTGTGTATATTGTTTTGCAGACAACTCTGAAGGAAGCGATTTTGACACTAACACCGACGATTCGCCTTAATAATATCTATCAGCCAATCTCCAATGTTTCTGATCTAGCGAATTCTGATGGCGATTTGGATGGTGATTTTGTTTTTTCTCGTCTTGCAAACGATTATGCAAATCATGTAGAAATTTGAGTATCCAAAGCGGGTAGGAGAGAGAAATGGAACCCATTAATCTTGTTCCAGTCGTCTACATAGCCGTCGAGAGTGATAAGTCTGGACTTGAAGGAGGCTCAGAGTCAGATCTTAGGGTTCGGATCGCAGCTCCATTAGCTGCTCTCTTGTGATGATAAAAAATTCATTAGATTTGTTCACCTTCCCCGTCGATATATTTATTGGGAAATTCTATTTCTACAAACCTAATTATCACAGTGCACACACTTAATAAAATATTATTTTAATGACAATTATACCCTAAATTAGGGTTGGTTTGGGATGTTCTAAAAAAGTACACTTTTTAACTTATTGGCTTATATGGGTTGGGTTTGATGTGATGTGTTAGAGAGGTGATGTGATTTAAATAAGATGATGTGACTTAAATATGATAATGACTTTTTGACTTTTTGTATTATTTAGGTTATGCCAAACTTGGCCTTAAAATAATCATAATGGACATCCACTAACACCCATAATATTATATGAAAATATTTATAAAAAAAAATTCCCAATATGCAAATTTTCGTAGACAACATGATTTAGATTCTCCTCAAACTCCAAAGCCTAAACTGGGTATCCAAGAAAGAACTTCAAGTGCATCTGAAGACAGCACGATGAACCTTGCTCAGGTTGTTATAATATTATTTTCATTTATTTAAATCAGATTGTGAGCACATTTTTAGAATTTTTTGAGAAAGAAGAGAAGGGGGAAAAAAAAAAACTAAACCTTAATTTTTCTATTGTTGTCACTTTGCTTGCTATGCATTTTATATTCCTCTATTACTTGCAAATCAATACTCTCATAACAACTCTCATATTGTTTTAATTTCTAAATTTATACTCTATTAGTGATGAAAATGTTAGTTTTTTTCCAGTAGAACTTTTTTTTTTTTCCTTTCATAGTTTTCAGTTGGATAATCAATGCTAAATTATTTCATTATATTCAGCCATCAACTGTCGAAAGTTTTTTTTTATTTTTTTTCGGAACAAATTTGTCGAACTAATCACTTTTATTCGGAAGTTAAGTTTTGAATTAAATGTATAATTTCGAAAAACCATTGCTGAAATCTCCAAACCGAAAGACATAAAAAATAAAAAAGTGTGGAAATGAAGGTTGAGTGGTGTGTGTATAATGATTATGAGTGAATGATATAATTATAACTTTTAGTGTGTAAATTGAGAAAATTAATTAATAATCAAATTAATAAGTGTGTGTACTGATAAAAGATGTGCACTAAGGTAATTAAGTGGGTGGAAATAGAATTTTCCATATTTATTGTATGTATATAAAAGATATATACAGTCAATAGAGTTGATTGACAGAAATACCCCAATTTGATTAGTTATATTTAACTGAAACATTCGAGTGGCTGAAATTGTTTTAAAATAAAAAATTAAAGGTTTAAATTGATGAAATTGGAATTCTAAAATTTAATTTGAAAGACATTTCGTAATTTGCCTAAAAAGAAAAAAGAGAAAATTTCCATGAATTGTAATGTAATTTGGTATCAACACTCATCAAGCGTTCAATTATAAACAAACAATTAATCTAAATCTATGAAAATTATATGCTAAAAAAATAAAAATTCTTGCTTCCTAAGATCCTCTTCAATTTTGACTTTTTCTTTAATCAAATTTAAATTTGATAATAACATTCAAAAAACATATCCAATCATTTCAACAAATGTTCATCAAATCAAGAGATTCTTTTTTTCCCATCAAATTAAAAATTCACCAAATCCTTCGTCAAATCTAAATTTAATGAAAATTTAAAAACATAAAGCATTAGAGATAATTTTTTTTTATTAAATTTTATGAACAAGGAAACTCGGGACTATAGAAAAAAAAAATTATTTAAAATTTGATGAAAATTTGAAGAAATGGTTAGAATAGTTCATATAAAATCAAGTTTCTTATTCAAATTTAAAAATATATATATATAGATTGATGAAAAAATTAGTAAAGTGTTGGAGAAGGCCTGAGAATATCTATATTGCACAAAAATATATATACAAATTCTCAAACTATCTTACTTTTGATTGAATCATCATCAACAGTTTTGGGTCTCATTTGTTTGGCCGCTTCAATGCCAGACTGGAGTAAGATGGTTGTGGGTCTCACTCACAATCATTTGGTGTTAATTTAGAAGGTCGACCTACTAGTGTAAGCAACTTAGTAATGCTTGGTGTTGATTTAGAAGGTCGGCTTACCAGTGTAAGCAACTTAGTAATGCTTGGCTAAAAAAAGTGTGAGATTAAGAAAATAGTGAAAAGATTAGATCTATCCAATCATCCACCTAAACATCTTTCTAGACGTTCGATTGGTTGACCGGAATAGTGTTTTTTTTTTTTTTTTGTAATTACAACCTATTATTTAAATATTTGTTTCAAATATTTTTTTAATATAGAATTTTTTTTTATAAATTTTTTATAAAAATATTTTAACAATCTTATCACTAACCCATCTACAACACTATCATCAAAATAAACACATTTTCACCTAATCTTCTCACTAACAATCTCATCCAACCTAATCCACTAAATAAACATGGCCTTAAGAGTGTTGAGAGAGAGCAGAGCCCCTCTCTCAAGGTGATTTTCGACAATACTTCGACAACCCATTTTACATTTCTATAGTATAGATTTACAATTTTAAAGTATAAATCTAAACTTTTTATGTTCAAAATAAGAATTTTGAGAGTTATTTTACAATTTCGACATAGATTTTTAAATTTTCAACATCTATAATTGTTTCCTCCTCTCTCAAACATTCTCTCGTACCATTATGTATACTTCCTTCTCAACTTCAGTTTCTGGCAGTATTCGATGTCCGATGGCAACAATAGCAACGACAAAGTTGGGTAACAATGATGAGAATGACATCGACAAGGATGATGAACTTTCAAACAGATCTTACGTTTCAAATCACATAATGAGAAAATCAATGATTTTTCCTAAATTATATTTGTTTTTTTGCCGAATGTAATTTTTATTTTGTTATTTGGTTAGAATAATCTTTTCGGATCTTGTTTATGTAATATTTTTTTATTAATATAATATTTCTCATGTTCTCAAAAATCATCAATATATCATGATCATCAAACTGCTAATAATTGATAAGTGTTGTCAGGTACACATTTTGAATCACAACCACCACTAATAACACTCAGACAAAGCTACAAGATTCAAAAGGACATGTTTTAACCCTGAAAAATATTAGTTACAAAACTATTGCAACTACATCGAATACACTTAGCTACAGCAAGATAATAGAAATTAAGGTACAATCAGCTTAAGCCGTTCTAATCACCCGAGAAACCCTTAATGAACCTCACACTTTTAACCCTAGAAAATGCCATTAATTACAAAACTATTGCCTACAACATCAATAGACTTGGCTACATTGCATCATTCTAGAACAAAATATGGGGTCGACACCAATCTCGGCAGATGAAAGATTCAGAACTTCAAAGTTCACTTTCCCCTGAACTGTAACAATGTCTATACATTAGCTTATTAACAAGAGACAGTTGGGGAAGGCAATGTAACTAAAGGCCCGTGTTAGAAAACCATTTAAAGAATGATGCTTCTTCTACCGTCAGATCTATTTTATTTTATTTTTATTTTTTTTTTGGGTGAGGGGGGCTTTTATCCAGGATAAACAATCACCAAATTTATAGGTTAATTGCTTCTCGGAAGATTGTACTTAGCGGGACCTCATCTTCTCTAACAGCCTCAGCTTCTCACGCAAACGTTCGATTTCATTTGATGCATCCTACAGGAAAAAAGAACAATTTTGTTCATGTGGCATCCATAACTACCCAAAAAAAAGGTTAATTATTAAGAAGATTAAGCAAATTAGCAAGAAAGATGTAGAGAAAATAACCTCCAACTTCTTCCTCAGCTTTTCCTCCTCTATGTTTCGTCGCTCCCTCTCCTCTGTGAATATACCTATCAAATTTTCCTGCTCCTTGTTCAGTTCGTCAATCTTTATTGTTGCCTCCTCAAGCTGATCAAACCACAGGCAACAATTTAGAGAAGAGATTGAATAGTTGCCATCTAAGAAGCATTAACATGGGTACATACACAGGAGATGGTGATTCTCAAAAAATCGACTCAGACACAACTGGAACACAGCAAGAAATATTATATATATATATATATATATATTTAATTTACTATGTATATTAATATAAATTTAGGATACATAGATATGAGAGAGGCAACGATGTACATGTGGGTGCATTTTTATTTTTTCAATTTTTCGGTCTACGTCCCATCTATTTTACTATTAACTACAAACAAGATTAATAAAATTAATTTATATATAAAAAAAAAAAACTACAAAGGTATCTTAAGGCGTGTCCAAACACAGGGCACGTGTGTCTGAAGTGTCCCCAATGTGTGCTACAAAAAAATTTAAAAAAAAAAAATTTGAATGCATGTGGTGATTCGGACACATGGACACTGTCCGCGCCATGTTGGACATCGACACATTACCCATCTTGAAGTGTCTGTGCTTCTTATGGTGCCAATGCATAATTTCATTGGACATCAAATGAGATTTCCCCATAGGACCACAATTGTCCTCTCTTGCTTACAACATTCACATACTAGTTCCAGAAGGCAAATGCTTTGAAAAGCAAAAGATGTAAACGGTAGGTGCTGACAAGTAATCATGATTGGTTGCGTGTATTTGAAAATTATGCATTTCTATCAACAATGAAGAAAAGCTACATCATCGATTTGATCTTTTTGTGATATAATAATTGTTTATTAAGACATGACACTCTATAATTTATTTATTTTTAAAAGTAAGCCAATTTTAATCTCCATTAGATGGAAGTCTGGAAAGGGTAGATTGGGTACTAACCTAACGTTTTGCATAATTTGTCATAACTTGGCTACCCTCAGAACTCTGTATATTGCAATTAAAAATTAGAAGTGACACCACTAATGCAATAGGAGATGTGAAAAGGAAAAGGGAAAAAAAAGGGGAGACAATCTAAATAAAGGTACCACATAGAAAAACAAGTTGAAAACTATGAAAAAGTTCTACACCCCAATATCTTGTTCTGCTATAACTCTCTCCGCCTAAAAATTCTCTTTACACTTGCATTAGGCAGACCACACATAATAATCTCCAAAGGATAACCACTCACGACTACCAAGATGACAATTTAAATTATTTATCATCATCTAGTAGAGAGAGAGAGAGAGAGAGGTACGCAAATAATCATGTGGGACAACAGTTGTAGCTGAAGACAAGTGAGCAAGGTCTGAAAGAAAAGACAGCACTTACCTTATTTTCAAGTGACTTGCGCTTATCTCTTTCATTTTGTAAATCATTCAGCAAATCACCTAAAATCTCTTGTTCCCTTCTTTTTAATCTATAGGGGGAAAAAGGAAAGAAAAGAAAAAAGAAAAGCAACTGTTAGTATGGGACTATGCATGAGAAAGAATATTCATATTTCAAATAAAAGAAACTCACCTTTCTTTCAACCAGCAGTTCTCTTCTTTCAACTGATCTAAAGCATGAGAATTGGAGTAGTTTGAAGGAGAAAAGTCATTTCCATTGATACCATCTCTCTGCTGCACGAATAAATAATGTTAATAACAGTAGGAAGTAGAATAGACACAAACATAGACATGACACGAACACGTTGATACACCAATTTTATACGCCTGCAATTCATTAAAAAATTATATTTTTATACTTTACTATATATTGAATATATGAATAGTAATTCCAATGTAATAAAGCAAAAAAAACACTAACTAAAACTTAAAGGCCATATATAAAGAATGAAAATATCATTCACACAACAATAGCAATATAAAGAATAAAAAACAGTTGTGTAACATTGAAATACACATGATATATTCATATTGTAAATGTTTCAAAACATATTTGAGTGCATAAGTTGCATTCTGAAAAATACATAACATTATTACTATGAAGAGATTCATCACATACGTCATGTTCGGAGGGTTCAAGAAATGTTGCCAAAGTGACCGAGAAGTGTCTATAAAGTACATGATATTATGAATTTAAAATTTTAATTAAGACAGAGTATCTGTATTTCTAAGATACTAACAATTTGCACTGCCATTCATAGATCAGCTGCCTCATTGTAATTTGTAGCTACCATTTCAGTCCAAATTAGCTATAGAGAAAGTACGTAGGCACGCACCACCTGGCACAAAGGGGCCATTGCTTGGTGGCAGCAGTAATGGGTTGTGCTTGCAAGCATGAGAATGAAGGTTTCAGTATATAGGCAGCCACTTTGTGCAAATTATGCCGAAGGCTAGCTCTATAACTTGTCTACCCCTCCCAAAATCCTCGGTTACTAGGGACCAACACGGGAGTAACTTTTTCTACAGCCATCCAAATAGAATTGCATGGGCTAATGATGCAGATTTTAGTAAGGCTGCAACACATTAGATGCCGTTTTGTGGCACATCTATCAATCACGCATAAGATCCAGCAGAGTTGAGTCTTCATATGAAACAAGGATGGGGAAACAGAAACCAAAAAAAAAAGAAAAAAAAGACTATTTTCTGAATTCAAGTATTTTCAAGAGAAAGAATCTAACTGAATGAATAATTCTATTAATCAAGCACTCTAGAAAATAGCATATATCAAACTTAAATAGCGCAGGTCCAAAATAAACCCGAGAAAGTAGCAAGAGTCAAACCCTAGGATCTATAAGTAATGCATCATGTGAATGACAGAATCTTTCATCAATGGACTTTACATTTTTTACTATTATTGTCAAACCGTAGGATCTGTAAGTAACGCATCATGTGTTGGCTAGCTTCACCTACATTGTTAGGCTCATTCCTAACAGCTTACGCTTTTGGGATAATTGGTGACTTAACATGGTATTAGAGCTTTGTTTGTTGGATCTTTTGGGTTCAAGTTTCACCATTTGCATTTGGTTCCCATTTGCATTTTGCTTCTTTGTTTGGTTGTTTATTTATCTTTCCACGTGATATACATTGTTGATATACATTGTTGGGCCCATTTCCTAACAGCTTAAGCTTTCGAACAATTGGTGATTTAACATATACAAGTCTTGATATATCCTTATTGATGCTTTCAGATCCTCTTCATTCTGATCTTTGAATGACCTCCTATTTGGCTGGGCGTTGTTTCTCATGATTTACCATCCAAAATTAGAGAGTTGGTAATGGTAATAGGTGCATCTTGTGTGTCAGTAGAATGAATTTCTCTTAATATGTTGAAACTATACCTAAAACTGGAGAAGGAAAAAACCCCCAGATAAGAAAGCCTCCTCTGCCTAATGATAAAATTTCACAACTTACGAAAAGAAACTGTTGGCAAACCATGAGGTCATTGTCTCAAAGGAAGTAAAATGTGCATGTATGTGTGTCAAACTCCAGGTTCAATATACATTAAGCTCACACTATGGTACAAATGTAAGTGGAGAGAGAATATGTATGCCCACGTTAGCTAAAAACATCTAGCTTTAGATTGATAACAAGAGATGTCTTTATTGCCATTTATTTATTCAAGTGGAAGAAGCATACAGTGACAAGAAATGACCTTTGTCTGTGAAGGTGTGGTGATTTGAACAGGTCTTCCATCCAAGGCACAATCTTCCTCAGCTTCTGTATTTCCCAAGTTCTGGGATGACCTACTTATATGAGAGTCATCCTTCCCACAAGACTTATTAGCTGGCAATACCTTCTGAGAACTTCCATTTGCTTGTTTCTCAGATGGGGCAGTTTGCATCTCATCATCACTGACATCCACGGGTGGTGATGGTTCTGAAGAATTTGGTCCTTTTGCCGATTTTGCAGAGGTTGTGGTTTTATTTTCCCCATTAGTGTACACATGTCCATTCAAGTGACTCTTGTCCACCGTTTTGAGATATATTTCTGATCCTCTCGTTCCCTGCTTTTGATTCAAATGTGATTGCAATTTGTCTGAAACTGAAATAGGTATCTTGCTGCTTGAGCCAGTATTCTTCTTCTTTTTAGATTGCGACGGAGGAAGATCATCAGGAGAAGTCTCTACAAAATTTGCATATAGTAGTGAGAGATGGCAAATTACCTTGATTGAGAATTTTCATTACTACCAGACAAGTAATTGCCACACCTCACTTTTGGGTAATAATATTTGCACACCACAGTCAATACACACTATTTGTGTTGTTCAGATATAAACTTCTAAACAAAAATGAATTTGTTCAAATATAAAATCCGTTCAAAAGTTGATATCCGAAGTTGTCACCTAAAACATTTGATTTTTGTTTGGTAGTTGATATCTGAAGGCGAAGGGTAGGCCCGACATAGCGGTAAAGCTACCCCTTGGTGACCTAGTGGTCACGAGTTCGAGTCGGGGAAACAGCCTCTCTGTTTGCGGGGTAAGGCTGCGTACATCAACCCTTCCCCAAACCCCACTTAAGCGGGAGCTTCATGCACTGGGTACGCCCTTTTAGTTGATATCTAAAGGCATAAATGGTGTGTACTACGATAAAGTGTGGTTCGCAAATAGAATTTTCCCTCACTTTTGTTCATTGTCAAAAATGTAGAATGAAAAATATTGCCTCCTATTAGATACCTCTGTAATCGATGAGCTTCTGATTGCGGCGTGGAGCATAGCCAATTTTATGACATAGCGTCGACCTGAATGAAGCAGTAAATAGCAAATTATTAAATGCTCAAACTCAGAAAACCCAAAGTATAGTGACAATATGAACAAACCAATATGTCTTCTGCATTTGTACTAGTTTTGTCTCTAGTCTTGAAAGAACTATTGTACGCTCAAATCCTTGCTTATCGTGAGCTGGTTCAACAAAATTTGCTTCCAATACACCTGCAGCAGAAATGATGTGCTTCAAGAGGCATGTCAGCCAACAGAAACAAGCTCACAGTTTCCAGTTTAGAAACAATACATACCTATAACTCCACGACCATCACTTCCAGCAGCATTCCAAACCCTCCAAAACGGCTGAAAAAACAACACATTCATGTAAGAATAGTTTCAAAATTCAAAACACATCACCACAGGCAGACATCTCTCATGAAGGTAAAAGCACGCCAAGAATGCCTGCAAATGTGGGTTTTATGTCCATGATACAAAAAAACAAGCTAAGGCTATCTCATTTGAGCATATTCACCTTGCCTAGGGAACTTCAAAATAATGTAAAATAGATAGCACAAATGCTAGTAACAAACAAACTACATGGCCAAAAAGAACACCTTAATAAGCCGATTCTTGTGATAAACATTGAATCCTTGAACATCAATATGAAATCTAGCATCCTTCACAAATCCAATAGTTACAACGGCAACCATCTGATAACAAAATGACACAATCAGTACTAGTAAATGCAATTTACAATCAGGTAATCAAATTAACTTCAATCTGGCAAGCATTACATGAGAATCCTTTGGGACCCCATCAGTACCAGGCTGCGGGCGATAGGTTATCTCCTGGGTCATCATCATATCATTCACAACATTGTGGTGCACAACATCTTTCCCGCGAAGAATAATACGAAAGCCTGGTGGAATTCTGAGATAGAGAATTGAGGCATAACTCTGAAGGTTCAAGAAAAAGAATAAAGTTAAAACAGCATTCAAAAAAGAGAAGGGGAGAAAGAAAGGCAACAAAAAAGGAATCTAGAGCTTTAAGCTAGACACCAATAGTTTTAAAACTTTGCATGATTAACAAAGGATTTAACAATAATAAGAGATCTACAGTACACAGCACACATCATGCAGGGGTTCAAAATATTGCTTAATTAAGTTTCCAACAGTCTCACATGCCATAACTATTTCCAACAATGTCCATAAGTTGGCCATAACTACATATTTTCCTTCCTTTAAGTTGAGTCAAATGGATCAGATAAGCTGAATTTGGCAAACCTGTTTCAGACAATTGAAACAAATCTCCTTTGTCCTCAATTTCTCCCAGTAGCGTGGCCATCACCTCAATATACTTGATTCAAGAGAGCTAGATATAGTAAGTTCTTGGATTTAGTACAAGTGATGAGTTGAAACATTAATGGTAGAAATGGGAAAGATAATGAAATTGAAGCCTTGTGCTTCGAAATTAGCCAATGAAACTGGTTTGTAAATAACGTCGTACAAGAAAGAGAAGAGAGAGAAGACCTTAAGGCCTTGTTTGAGATCTCCATTCAAACCAATATAAGTGTTCCACTTCCACAAAAACCTTGTTCGCTTTCATAGACATAAAGAAGTAAAGAACCCATATAAACATTGACTTAAGATTTCTATGGTTATTAAGAAATATCAGAACACTCTAAACGCATAAACCTCCTAAAAAGCAGCCCACATAACACTACAACTAAATAATACTTCAACTCCACCAAAATAAAAAGTCAATAATCAACTGCTGAGCAAAATCGCAGCCCAAGAAAAGAATACAAGCCTAAGTAAAGCTCTTAGAATATGGGAACTCTAACCAAGCCAATCAAACATACTGAAACACCAAAATAACAAAACTAACTTACACCAATAAAAATTACATAACTTGTAAAAAGCAGACACCTAGCAGTCCTGATCAAAACATCCAAAATACTCCTTAATGAAGAAATTACATGCAAGAGTCATGGACACACTTCTGTTGCCCTTGCATCACTGTAACTCCAACATCATAATATCTTGCTTGTAGAATTTCTTTTAAGCGGAGGCCTTTAAGTAGCATAAAACTAAATAGCAAGCTCCATATAGGGGAGGCCATTGGTTCAATGGTAAAATCTTGGCCAAATAACCTTAAGGTTATGGGTTCAAGTCTCAAGGCAACCACTTTGTGCACTATGCCAAAGGTTAGGTGTGTACCCAATCTTTCCCCTCCTAAACACACATTAATGTGTACTAATTGGGCATTGTTTACCATCACCTACCTCCTCCTTGAGTTTGCGGGGGGCTGTTAGAATTTACCATCACCTACCATCACTACCACCTCATCTACTCCACTAAACCTAACCCACTACCACCATCCACTACACCTACATCTATATAAGGAATCATTTGTAATACACATCAATCAGAAATCAATCAATAATATATCATTTTTAACATACACCAATAAAAATTACATAACTTGTAAAAAGCAGACACCTAGCAGTCCTGATCAAAACATCCAAAATACTCCTTAATGAAGAAATTACATGCAAGAGTCATGGACACACTTCTGTTGCCCTTGCATCACTGTAACTCCAACATCATAATATCTTGCTTGTAGAATTTCTTTTAAGCGGAGGCCTTTAAGTAGCATAAAACTAAATAGCAAGCTCCATATAGGGGAGGCCATTGGTTCAATGGTAAAATCTTGGCCAAATAACCTTAAGGTTATGGGTTCAAGTCTCAAGGCAACCACTTTGTGCACTATGCCAAAGGTTAGGTGTGTACCCAATCTTTCCCCTCCTAAACACACATTAATGTGTACTAATTGGGCATTGTTTTTAGCAAGCCCCACATAAGTAGTCAAGGGAAGATGCATTTACTACGTGATGATACTCACAGGACAGCCTACATCAGAACTAGCCAAGGAAAAATATATGATTTTGCCAGTTAGTGTAAGTATCTATCTGAATTTGTGAAAAACCATATTAATTCCATCACGAAGTACACAATTGGCCTCAGTTATTCGTTGAACTTCATTCCGTGTCAAGTACACACTTCCCCTGCCAGATTATGATACTCAACTTGCCCGTGCCCTGCGTTTCTTTGCAAGAACAGAATCTGATATTAACTAGTTTTTAATCTTAATGCCTTTCTAAAGTACATCTTAAGCAAATTTTTTTCAAATTATTAACTGTCAACATTAAGGCTCCGTTTGTTTTCAGAGGTAGGATGGAGGGGATTCATTAAGGCTCCGTTTGTTTTCAGAGGAGAATGGAGGGGATTGTTAGTGAGGGGATTAGTAAAATTGTGTTTGTTTTGATGATAGTTGTTAGTGTGGGGATTGTTAAATTATTTTTATATAAAGTAATAAAACAAATAAAATTATAATTTTTACTTAACAAAAAATACAAAACATTAAAACATTAATGTTAAAAAAAAAAAATGTCCAACAAGTAAAACAAAAAAAAAAAAATTGCCGTTGACCGGTTGACCGCCGGACTTCCGATAACACTCTAAGCCAAACGGACTAACTTTTAATACCACCTCCTCGCCCAGACTAACAATCCGCTCGTCCAAGGCCTTTCATAATCCGAACGGACTACCAATCCGGAACACCATAAACAAAACAAACATGATATATGGTTACTATTCATCATTGTTTGTCCGCTCCGGACTGCTATAGCGGCAAACAAATGGACCCTAAGTCATCAATATAAAACAATCGACGTATTCGTCGAAAAGAGTTCTAGCCTTTTTGCTGTAATGCTTCCTAAATACAGCTACACTAATTCCAGACGTAGAATCTTCACCAACGCATGTATAAGCCTCTAAAATCAAGGTAAGCACAAATAGTTTTAGGCCATATAATGCTTCTTCAGTCAACTCCACCAATCTTTTTACTATTCTGTTACATATTTCTACCAACATGTCCAAATAAACACTTCAATTAAAGAAGACGAACATTATGAATGGAAAAACAATATATAGAAGATAAATATTATGAGATAGGAATATTACTGAGGGTTAATAACTGCAAGAGGGGAACCATTTAACAAATATGAGAAATATGTGTTAAGTGCTAGTTAAAATCCATACTTTTTGGGTAAATAGGTTAAAATCCATACACTTCAAAAAGATCCAAACATCAATTTAGAAAACGTAACTGAATATTGATCATTTGTATGAAGCAAAACCACAATATACATGAATTAATTACCCTTAATGAATGTCGATACGTCAAGAAGTGCTTGGAGTTGGGAAATTGTTTCGCCATCAGTATTTTCTTCTCATCTCGGTTGACGCCTCTAATTTGGATGTCCTGCAGAGTCACATATCATATAAGGTTAAATTCCAACAAAATTCAGCTCAGAATCTTATGGTATTGTTACAGAGAGAAAAATAAATAAATAAATAAATAATCCACAATTGAAAATAACAACGCCAACAGCATACATATGGATCAGCGTCAAAATCAAGTTCCAACTGTCCTTGGTCATCCTCCCAAAGGTTGTATATGATTACACGCGTACCATGATCTTTCATCTGATTGAACTGTCGATGAACAGAGAAAACTTAATCACAATAGGCTTGGCTATTAAATGACCACCATGACAAATGGATAATCAGACAATCATAAAGCCAGATATAAACCATGTGCAAAGGTTAGAAAGAAAATACCAACCAATCAGAATACTTTTATAATAAATAAATCCACTTAAGACACATTGCATCCCATGAAAGATAAGTGCAAAGACGGAGAAAGTGAAACATAGACAGTAAAGTTAAGACACATGTTTACATTGATTCTAAGAACTGGAAGTTAATCTTGCACAATCTTCTTATTGTGATTTTAAGCACTTGCTTGCATGAAAAAAATTCAAAGTCCTTGAGATGACCTTCCCAAGTGAAGTGACTTCAGTTAGCCCATGGTCATTGCCTCTTTTTCATTTGCAACAATGTCAAACAATTTCCAACTCTAAATTCAAACACAATGGCTACATAGTTCAAATTTGGACAAAAGTAACACAATTCCATTGTTAAAAAATAAATAAAAAAGAAGGCAAGATGTTTCATAATAAAGATAATACTTTACTCCCACCAAATTCACTAAAAATATCAAATTAATTAAAAAAAATTCCAAGCATTCAATTGAAGTGATTTCAAAAGTTAAAAAAGTACAATATTGTTTAGATTTTTAAAACCTTAGCTAAATAATCCCCAGAACTAAAATTTTATCAGAGAAAAAAGGGGAAGGGATTCAGCTTCACAAAATAGAATCTAAGTACAGAGAGTATTATATTATGCCATATCATATTAAGGAGTAGTAGAAAAATGACATTGTGCCAAATGTCCAAGGGTTTCTAGAATAAGAAGCTGATAATCTAAAACCAGCATACAAGACAGAGCTAATCTAAAAGCAGCATGCTTGTTAGATAAGGAAGGTGTTAATAACATGAACTGCTTGGTCTTCCTTGCATTTACAATTATATGCAAACCACAAACTTCTACAAATTACACTGAAGAAAGATGAATCACCTGTCGCAGAAGCTCTGCTTCATTTGAAAACGGAGACCACTGCACTATTGTCTCTACATTTATATTCCAATCTCTGGTAGAGGATCGCATTATCTTGTTCCACTCCCGTCCCCCTCCTTGGTAGTCAAGCTTTCCATGTCATTAACAGAACCACCACGATCAAAAGAACATATAATAAAACATAAATGCAGACGTAATGATAAGCTACAAGAAAAATCATGAACTACATTCTGAAATCAAAAGAGCAGGAACCCAAAAATGGTCGCAGACAAGAGGACATGAGCAAACTGCAGTTGCTTGACATGGCTATTATGGGCCAAGCAACTCTAATTGTGATTACACTCGAGACATAAGATTAATAGTGCAACAAACGGAAAATTTGGCAAGACACAAAACTAATGGTGTAAGAAACGGAAAATTTGGGTAGGCCCATAAATCAAAAGGAACAGAGAGAGGAAGAGAGAGAATAGGTTAACTATACAACTCATTTCTACCCCAATAAAATGGTGATGTGATGCAAAAATAGCCAATCCCCAGATAATCTTCTGGTATGAAGAATTTGAAACAAGGTTCCGGCACTTGCATGTGATGGAATTAAATTAAATAAAAAAAAATTGTTCATCAGCAAATCCCCACATTTAATCAGATGCCAGAACCAGCTAAGGACCACACATCAGAAATGATTTTGGATAACAAAGAGTCCAGAAGAAAAAATCTTCAGGCAACCTTGCAGTTTAGAATAGTTCAAACACATAAAAGTACAAAAACATTAGTAACCATAAATGAATGTACAGGACACAAAATTAAAAATTAAAAATACAGCTTCTCTTTACAAGTCTTGAGTAGATGGGGAAAAGACAACTAGACCCGAAAAGCTTTTTAGTACAAACGAAAATAAGACAGGAAAATGTTACAGGAAGGCCAAACAAAGAATTCTAAGGTGAGACATATATCATTCCTTCCTGAGGATATAAATAATAAAGTTGCCACTCTCTCTAACAACTTGAACTGTTAAATGAGTAGGTGGTCAACAATCTAACATGGTATCAAAGTAGGCAAGAGATCATGAGTTTGAACCTCACAACCTACCCAATAATTATAAAAATAAATAAAAAAAATTTGTATGCGTTTTAACTCCTTATGAAGGATCTTAAACTTTTAGATGACTTAGTAGTCAACAACCTACTATTCCTTAACTAATAAATTCACTAGTCAGTGTTCCAAATTACCATTCCCGAGCTATTAGAAAAACCAGACAATATTCCCCCAAAGTCAAAGCTCACCCCTATTATACGGTCTTGGGTAGAACTCAACCCCAAAAGCTAGCCCTTAAGGTGAGGGTGCCCTCACGCTTATATGTTTAACATTACTTTAGTATGCGAGCAATGTGGGACTTCGCTTCACATCCTCCTTTACGCCCAACATGCTTACTCAACAAAACTTACAGTGTGCAGGCCAAGGACACACACCCTACCCATCCCTAAGTACTCCAGCTCTGATACCATGTTACATGGTCTTGGATAGAACTCAATACCAAAAGCTAGCTCTTACGGTGAGGATGCCCTTAGGCTTATATGCTTTGAAGCACGGGTATTCCAAAATGTTGTCGTACTTGCACTGGGTACTTACTACGTACTGGTACTTGCATGCATACCGGGTACATTTTATACATTCTATACATTCTTTGGCAGTTAGGTACTTTGTGAGTACTTCGTGGCTACAGGTCCGGATAGGTACATCGGGAGCACACCAAGTTGTGGGACATTGGTGGAGATATGTTTAATTTATTAGAGAGTCCTGATTTACTTGAAATTGCAAATCGTTTGCTTGATGTACCAGAGATGAAAGATGTATTTTTCAATGATAAAGTTGATACAAGTGAAAATTGAATTTTCAAGTTTCTAAATTTTGCTTAGCTTGCTTTTGGAATGAAACTTTGTTTTGTAATTTCTTCAATTTAATGACATTACAATAACTTATGGACTTTGTTTTGGTATTGATATTGTTGAATCATAATTTTCCTTTTGGTTTTGTAACTATTCCTTTTAGTTTTGGTATTGAACTTTGATTTGTAGGATATAAAAAAATAAAAAATTAATTGACATACTCCATCCATACCGTATCGAGGAACCCATAACATACCCATGCCAACATCCGTACCTGCACCTGTGCTTCATAGCTTAACACTACTTCAGTACTTGGGGGATGTGAGACTCGACTTCACAACACCAACTTCCATAATCTCCCTCTTGATTCAATAGAATCTAGACATTCATGACTGACTAATTTTCTTCCTTAAGAGGTATGATATTTAACTACTTCCAAACCCAGGATAATAACTAGAAAATCAATTGCTAGGGCCCAATTACCAAGAAGTTTTTCCTGAGCCAATCCAAACTAGGATGGAGGGAGGTTGCTAAACAAGTTGGTCAAAATTATTGCCCGAATCAAAATGCAAATTAATCAACAAGTATCATTTAAGTTAATTTAATTAATTGATTAATTTATATTTTTTTTTATGTGGTGATCAAATTCTAGTGCTTGAAAATGATAAAAGTTTTAAAGTCGTTGAATAGTGTCAAACAAATGTAGAGATAAGGAAAAATAAGAAATAAGAATATTTACCGTTTTACAAAGGAAATGCAAGTGTGTTTACCAATACTTCTCAAAAAGCAATGCAATTGCAAAAAGATATCACACCAAATGATTTGTACTTAGATGTACATCATAAAACAAGTAGCATTCCATCAAGATGTAACTATATGCAAAATATATATATATATATATATATGTGATGTGATGTAACTTGTTTTATGTTCAAGCAAGTAATAAAATTAACATCATTACCATGGGAACTACAATATCTTCCTTCCCTGTGCTCCTCAAAAATGTGTATGACAACATTCCAATGGACTGTGTGGGCCTAAAAAGGAACATCAAAATGATCAATTGACAGACAATAAAAATAAGTAAATTATAAAATAAACAGAGTACCAATAAGAATCCCAATGAGCAACAGAAACCGAGAATCGGAAAAGTAACTTATGTAGTTAGTTGGAAATCATTTTTCTTAAAAATCAAAACCATAAATAGCAGACAATTAAGAGTGAGCCAGATAAACAACAACATACAGGTACAACATTTCACGTGAAAACTGCTATTAATAAGAAAATTACGAAGAAAACACTAAATGTAAAAAGTGTATAGAGATACATGAGAAAATTGGGTTGAAATTTGTTAAAGTGTTAAAGAAGGTATAAAAAGTGTATTGGGATTATAAATATTGTCTTTATTTGTTTCTTATTGAAGGCCCTCATTAGAATGACCCAATTACAAATGCTTTCAAGAAGATAACAGAAGTGCTTACACAAGGTGAGCGTCTATGATCATTCATGTTGACCGGACAGTCAACTATTGAACCTCTTAAACATTACGTGAGTGTTTGGGAAGTTGCTATTTTAGTAGGTTATTTTAGTTTTTGGCTATTTTAGTAGGCTAAAATTTTTGTGTTTGAGAAGATGATTGGATTTTTTTATAATTGGATGATGTGATATTTGTGAGAGAAAAAGTGAAATAATTATGAATTTGATGTGACATTTTGTCTTATTAGCTATTTTAGCCTATTTTATAACTATAGAAAATCCTTCACAGGATACAATAGCACAATGTCATCTCAAATTGCACCAAAGCAAAGAAGAAACAGGAACAGGCATTTCAAACTGGAAAGCAACAAGCAAATATTAAAACCCAGAGCAAGATAACATTTTACAATCCAATTTGCAAAAGCAATAAACAAAAAAAATTAGCAAATCAAAACAAACTAAAAGCCAACCTCCTTCCATCTTGTCCACAACAGCGGGAGAAGACAATAACATCAGCTCCAAGCCTCATGGTACTTGTCTTAAAACCATTTCCATCTAATCAAAAGAGCACAGATGAATAATATTTAAATAAAGGGAAGGAGGAAAAAAAACTAACCATTTTTATCAAATATATGTTCCATATAAGATTGGTTTCTTACATTGTCCAATACTATCTGCTATTTTGCTTTTTACAGAATACCCAAGGGACATGCATTGCCGCATCTTATCTGGACCCATGCCACCACCATTATCTGCAAAAAGATATAGAAGACAAAAAATGCAGGGGCAGGCAACAAAAGAGTTACAAAAATACGCATAAAATTAGGCATGTATTGATTGTATATTTGTGTTGATTCCATAGATATTCCTTTGATTGTGTAGATATTCGGTTTTCCTTTTTTAGTCTTAGTTTTAGGGATATAGACACAGATGTATGCTTTGTAAAGATTACTCAATTGAATATACATAAGTCATTCAGAAAACTTATAGGCGCCTCAGTATTACCCACACCACAGGTCACACACACAGAGACATAGAAACAGAGACGAAAATAAAAATTGCATCTTAAAAGGTACATAATATGAAGCCAATAGCCATAGACGAAGTCACAAAATATGCTTCCCAAAGATGAAAAATTAAACAGGAAAAGAAGGATCATTTAAAGAGTTGGAAAGTTATTCATAATATTCCTACAAGCTTCTAATGTTTGAATCTTAAAAAGGACCACAACTTCATGAAATAATCACACAATTCTCTACTAGGCAATAGTCAAACTTGTACGATTGTACCCATGAAATGGATATCAAGATATAGTAGGCTGCATCGTAATAACTTGAAAACAAAAACTAGAAGACTGACATAGAGAATTTGAAGCATGTATAACACAATCCAAAAGAAGAGCAATAAAAGGCAGATTCAAGGAAGCAAAAAAAATGGAAATTGCCATTATTACAAGGCAAGGCCAATTGGAAACTATAATCAAGTTTTTAGACTTAGTAGAGTCTAACTTTCGGATTACTTAGGTTTGGCAGGAATTTGATTGACTTTCTAATTTTTTTTCCGTTTTATAAATTTGGTATTATGGTAATTTCAAAATTTATGGGATGTGGCTACAGTGATTACCTATGCTCATACTGTCCATGTTACGCCACTAGGCCTTTATCCAAAAGACAATTTAAGTTCAGAGTATTTGGGACTTCTCTTGAAATGCTTCTAATTGAATAGAGGTCAATTTCAAAGAATATTATAAATCTTTTGAAGCTCTTTGGCAAATATTGCTATGCAATTCTAACTTTTGGAATGATGCCAATGGACTCCGGGTGCAATGCCTAGACCATCCTCTCCTCTATTTTTTCTAAAAACAAGTAATCAAGATCTATATTGAACTTTGTTTCATCTTTAAGAAACCCTTCAGACAAGCACAATTAATTCCTTTGTCAGTTCTACAATACAAAAGATTCAAAATTCAGCCATGAGTATTGTTCACGGGTACTGTACCAAGCACCCAAAGCAACTTGAGTACAGTCCCAAAAATCCTCGGTTATCAATGCCAAACCATTGCACTTTTGTGGACCTAATACAAAAACTAAAATAATTCCATTTTTTAACCCTCCACCACACTGCCCTAGCTTACCAGTAGTAGGAGAGTGTACCTGCATTCATCCTATATCACATTATTGATCATCATGTACAAGAGAGTGTACTCCACACCCATCCTACATCAATACATTGACCATCATGTAAAAAAAAGGCCCGCTTAAGTGGGGTCTGGGGAAGGGTTGATGTATGCAGCCAACCCCTCAAGCGGAGAGGCTATTTCTGCGACTTGAACCCATGACCACCAGGTCACCAAGGGGTAGCTTTACCGCTATGCCAGGCCCACCCTTCACATTGACCATCATGTACGCGAAAAAATTCATATGAGAGACAACAAATAAAACTAAATACCTTCAATTAGCAACATTCTGCTACCATCTTTCTTACTTTTGAGCATGTCTATGTTCACAAATGTAGCTCCATTACAAACCTGATATCAGAACATAAACTTTAGTACATTTCTAAAGAAAAATAAATATTGCCTAGCTAAGAAAGAATAAATTAGAGAATACTTCATCCAATGAATTGTCCAGGAGCTCCGCAAAAGCTGCAGTGCACAAAAAACAAGTAGATTAGAGCATTAGGGTCTTACTAAACCCAAGATTAAGGTACTTAATGTCTCACATAGAGCACACGAAAATGCACATAAAAACTCAAGATTTTGTAGATAGGTACAGAAAGTTTACCACCAAGGACCCATTTATGACTGGTTGCATTAGAATGTAGGAATTTGGGATGAACCCTGACGTGATCCATGCCACCTGTAGAAGAAAAAAACTCAACTGGCATATAACTAATGTTGGTTTCATATGCCCCCGTCACATGCAACAAGTACTTAACTGTATGCACATTGTCAATTGGTCAGAGAAGTATAAACAAGTTACTTCAAAGTTCATTTAAAGTGATTCCCATAGGAGAGGCGAGCCAAATGGGAGTAGCCTAAACCATAATAACAGAATCACTAACATAAAGAAATTCTGAACATATTATACCAAGGAGCTAACTATCAATGAAGTCCGCATCAATGCTTTGGAATTCCATCCAAAGCCAAAAATATAAACAAATAAAAGAGCTCTTCCCATGCATGCTCATTTTGTCAACAAACTAAAGCAAAAAGACAGGCTTAATTATTACCCCTGGTAAGCCCATAGAAACTATTGTTGAATGATCTCTTCAATCTCATTCAATGCCTATGTTGCTAGCTATAACTAACTAAGCAGTTCCTATGATACAAAGGATACTACCTTCTATTTATCGGAGGAGGTTCACATGACCCATAATAAATAGGGGGACTTATGGACCAGTCCTACTGGCCAAACATATTTACCTATTAAGTACTATTCCTTTTTTCACCTATCAATATCCCCAAAAAGTGTTAGGGCAAAATAAGTATTTTAGGACATATTGGTGCATTAAAAAAGTATACAGGACCGATAGGTATTTAGGTCCATCATATAGAACTGACCCGTAATTTACCCTAATAAATTCCCTTAATATGCCAGCTCATGTTTCAAAGCATATCAATCCATTAGGATTTGTCTGACGAGGAGTTTACCACCACTCTAGACATGGAAAATGCTTTCTATTCTCAGTCTACTTCTTTAGCTATGGTGTCTTGCCATTTGGTCTATTCTTCAAATAAGGCTCCTACTCCACCAATCTACATCAGTTCCGTTGCTCCTCACTACTTTTGTGAAACCTAATCCTCTCAAACAGCGCTATCCCCTCATACTCTTAAAACATTGATAAGACTTAGCTTTACTAATACTTGTTTCTCTTCTTCATATCATGCCTTTTTTACCTCCATCTATGCATACTTTGAGCCTAACTCTTATTAGAAAGTTCGTATTGATCCTAATTGGATACATGCCAAGAACGATGAGTTAACTACCAGCAACACACCAAGAACGATGAGTTAACTACCAGCAACACACCTGACCACATGTTGAACATGCCAAGTAGTGTGTCAATTGTTTTAATTAATATTTTTTTTTAGAACACTATAGGGACACTTCACAAACATGTGTGCACCGTGGTTGGACATGATTCAAGACACCTTTGTGAGTATCCTTTTTAATAATTTTAAAAAGCTAATTTGTGGGCAAAGTAAAATATATGAAAACAAAGAGGGAGTAAAGTAAATAAAAATAAAAATACTCCCACATATACATTGATGCCGCTTATATCTTTGTGCCCTAAATTTATATTATTATGCATAGCAACGCAACCAAACCAAACCAAACCAAACCAAACCAAGCCTTAAGTCCCATCAAACAGGGTCGGCTACATGAATCCTTCTTTTCTACATTGTTCTATCAAAGGCCATTTCGTTAGTCAAATTAAGTAGATTCATATCTCTATTTACTACGCTAACCAACGTCAATCTAGGTCTACCCCGTTCCCTAACACTTCCATCTACCGTCACCGTATCACATCTCTTCACTTCTACTTCTGTTGATCTCTGTTGAATATGACCGAACCATCTCAATCTATTCTCTCTCAACTTATCGTCTATCGGTGCTACACATCCCCGAATGTAGTCTAATTGTGTCTTTTCTAGTCTTGCCACACATCCACCTTAGCATCTTCATCTCAGCAACACTCATCTTATCTATATGTTGTTTCTCGGTTGCCCAATACTCTGTCCCATACAACATCGATGGTCTAATAGCCATTCTATAAAACTTACTTTTTAGTCTAGTGGATACTCGTTTATCGCACAGTACCTCAGACGCACTTCTCCACTTAAGCCACCCCGCCTTAATTCTATGAATCACATCCGCATCAATCTCCTTCGTCGTTGTGATAATTGACCCTAAATAACAAAAATGTCCTCTTAGGTAGTTCTTGGTTCTCAATCTTCACTTCTCCTCTGCTTTCGTTGTTACTGTTACTCAATTTACACTCCCATGTATTTTGTCTTAGTTCTGCTTATCCAAAATCCTTTAGATTCAAGTGCTTCTCCAACTTTGTGTTAACTCCTTTTCTAGTCTCATCCACTAACACGATATCACCTGCAAAAAACATGACCACGACATATAATCCTGAATATTTCTCGTCAATTCATCCATAATTAAAGCAAAAAGATAAGGACCTTAGTGTAACCCTACAATAATTGAAAATTCATTTGTCTCTCCAGCAAGTGATCTAATAGTGATCACCACCCCTTCATACATGTCCCTAATCACATCAATGTAACATTTTGTCACCCCTTTCTTCTTTAACATCCACCAGACTATATCCCGAGGCACTCTATCATATGTTTTTTCAAGATCGATAAACACCATATAAATGTTTCTTTTCTTTTCTCTACACTTTTTTCCTACTCTTCTCAAAAAATAAATCGATTCCATTGTTGACCTACCAGTCATAAACCCATTTTGATTCTCTGACACCTCTGTTATATCTCGCAATCAACGTTCCATCACCATCTCCCACACTTTCATTATATGACATTAGCTAGATTCCTCTATGGTTGTTGCAATTCTGGACATCTCATTTATTCTTATAGATTGGCACTAAAATACTCTTCCTCTACTCATCTGGCATTTTCCTAGTCAACAAAATCTTACTAAACAACCTAGTCAACCAAGCAACCCCCTTCTTACCCAAACACTTCCAAGCTTCAATAAGGATATCATCGGATCCTAAAGCCTTATTCAATTTCATCTTCTTGAGTGCAATCTCCGCTTCAAAGTTCCTAATCCTGCGATAGAACCTACTCTTCATTTTCCTTATTACTGGCTATTTTCTCCCCTATTAACGTACCTCTATGTTCCTCATTTAATAATTTCTCAAAATCGTTCTTCCACCTCTCCTTAATCTCCTTATCGTTCACCAATACCTTAGAATCCTCACTCTTGATGCACCTAACTTGATTAAAATCTCTTGTTTTCATCTCCCTTATCTTAGCAAATTTGTATAACCTCCTCTCCCTCCTTACTATCAAGTATAGGTCATCATAAGCTTTCAACTTGCCTCTCTCACTACTTTCTTGACCTCCTTATTAGTCAATCTATAGAGCACTTCAAGTTTTCCTCAGTTCTATTCTTCTGCCACTTTTTAAAGCACTCTTTTTCGCCTTAACTACTGCTTGAACCTCTTCCCTCCACCACCAAGTTTCCCTAAAGTTAGGTCCCTTTCCTTTCAACTCTCCAAGAACTTCCCTTGAGATTCTCCTTATAAAATTGGCTATCGAGTTTCACATAGTGTTAACATCATCTTCCAAGTCCCAAGTACCTTCCTTATCCATTCTATTCTAAAATATTTCTAGTTTATCCCCTTTTAGGTCTCACCATCTCATCCTACGAAGCCAACCATCCTTCCTAACTTAGTATTTCCCTTTAAAGCATAAATCTAGTACCAAAATCCTATGTTGAGACATTAGGCTCTCTCCAAGAATCACCTTACAATCACTGCATTTTAAACGGTCTATTTTCCTCACTAAAAAGTAATCTATTTGGCTCTTAATTGACCCACTCTTAAAGGTTATCAAATGCTCCTCTCTCTTCTTATACATAGTATTGGCCACCACCAGATCAGAAGCCAACGCAAAATCTAAAATACTATCTCTAGCCTCATTTCTATCACCCAAAAAAAAAAAAAAAAAAAAATTTGTGGTATCCCCACCATGTTTGTGTTCTAAATTTTTTCAAAATCACTGTGTCATGTGTCTGTGTTTGTGTTCGCGGTTCTTAGTCATGGGCAATACATTCATATCCATATATATATATATATGTGTGTGTGTGTGTAAACAGCAACGTTACAGCCCAATTTAGGGTTGCAAAGAAACTAGGGGAGTTAGAGAGAAACTAAGAAGATATTGATAGATAAATCACTTGTGTTTGAAAGAGAAGCTAAGAAATCGAGACAAATGGTTAATATGTCATGGATTGAGCATCAAAGATGGTGATTAATCTGGGGTGAATTTGAAACAGTGCCTATCTGGACGTTATTTTAAATTCCTAGCTTCTAGGCACTTAATCCACAAGTCATTTACAAGGATTTGAAATCTTTGCTACATATAGACTATCCAAACAAATCACATGGATTTGGGTTGTGAATTTCAAATCTCCATGAACATTATCCAATCGAAGCCTAATAGTTGCCAATTCTAATTTATACCCACATCAACAAAGATGATACTTAAAGCATGAGTCATCAACGATGTCAACACACAAGTGCTATAGTCAAGGAACATCATACGCAAATAGCCAAGGAACAATCAGACCCAAAAAGATAAGGAACAATCAGCTCACCATGGCAGTCAGCCCCCCACAAAACTATATGCAAAGAGCTAAGCATAACCCTATCCTTGACAATTTCTAAAACTAATAGTAGCCACGCCCCATAAAAACAGAAAGGATCAATAAAATATGTTCTGGACATACTATCTTGCTAGGCATCCAAAATTCCAAAGATGAGTTCTACATTTAGCAAAGATATAGTATTAATTACACATTGTATTCTTTTTTACTGAAGTTATTCTCTTTGTACTGGAAGATTTCCCTCCATGATATTTGTTCCTTGATCAATAAAATCTTGCTAACTTACCAAAATTAATTATACACTAACTTCTTAAAAACCACAACTAATCTAATGCAAGCAAAATAATTAACCTTGAACATCAAGGACACTATTGTTCACCCTTATTAAGTGAGAAAAGTAATTCCCATAGGGGGAAAACCAAACTTCGAAGCTCAACAAAATGTAAAAATTCCAAATAAAACAATGTTCACTTCTAAGTAGCAAGCAACTAAAA